TGCATGGCTCAATATTGGATCGTAAGCTAATTTAAATACGAATTAATAACGAATTACGAAATTAACGAACGAAACCGCCCAAGCCTAGTGGCCAGGTAAGTTTTATTTTATTTTTAGAGGGAAAGGGGGGGAGCTGGAGGGAGGCGGTACCATACCAGATGTTTGGGCTCCAAGAGCTCAAAAGGTTCAGGTTAGTAAATGGGGACTCACCCTTGGGTACTCACAGAACTACCCAGAAGTGAGTCCCCACAGGTCAATACCCCATTAGACTCAGGTCTTTCAGGAAGGCTCAAATCTAAAGCAGTATCTAATTAATTCAGAACAAACCAGGGCAAACCAGGTTTTGGGCCTGTCTGGATGGGCCCGAGGTTTCATTTATTTTGTCCCATGATAAACTAAGCTCCTGTATTTTGCCACCCTACTCACAGAATGCTTCCTTTTTTGATAAGAGTTAAAGTACAATACTCATATTGATGCCACGTAATTTTTTTGAGTTGATTTTTGACTAAATTCATCATCATCATCATCATCATCACCATCAATACTTTATTTGTATCCTGCCCCCTCTCTCTTTGGGGATACAGGGCAGCTAACAACATGAAATAATAAACAAAGCAAATGGGCAATATAAAGAATCAATATAAAGAATCAATATAAATTTTCTAGACATATACATGTGTATATAACATACTAGCTTAAGAGTATAGTGCAACTGGTAGTTTTATAGACATACAATAGATCTAACTATAAGTTATCTGTAGAGAATAAGAATTTAATTGTATTGCTGATGTTGCTCCAGTTTCTTTTTATATAAATTTTTCTTGTTATATGCACAATATGAAACATGCAAAAGCAACATATATTTTTGCTGTGAAATACCTGCTGTGAAATTTATTAATGAACCTTGCCAGAAAGACAAATGTTTCAAACATATAAATATACACCGGTCTTTTCTCTTTTCAGAACTGCTGTAATTTCCTCTAACAACAATATAATGATCCACAGTCAGCAAGGCTGCTGTGTGTATTATTAACCTATAATTTAAACCTACTGAAGAAAAAAAAGACTTGAGCTACCTTTTAGAAAATCTAGTTTTCATTTTCTTTCACCCACTGAAATCTTCATATGTTGTGACTGGATTGAAATGTTAAGCAAAGGTCACATATAAAAATATGTTAATGATTCAGGATTCTAAATCGGGTTAGTAAAATTGGTTTTTTTAAATGCTTTACATAACACAGCTCAATAATTACATTAACACTCAATTAAATACACCTTTGAAATTAAATATTAATTTATGCACTCGTGGAAAAGTGATTAGTTATCTTACATGAAAACTGCATTTTCTTTATAAACTGGTTTCAAAACAGTAAGAGTGTGTGTGTTTTTTAAAAAAATCATCATTTTAAGCTATAGATGAAACAATAGCTTTACAAGTGATGCAAACAAAATTTCCAGAAAGCAAAAAAAAAAAAAAAATAAAGCACATAACACCTACATCTATCTATATTCATTATTTGCCATAAAATAATAAAGACAATCTCTGGCAACTTCCAGACAGCACCAAAATCAACATTTTAGAACTGAGTTAAAAAAATCCTGGGAGCTGACATCAGGTGCACACATAGACCTGTCAGTTCCGGGATATGGTCCCCACTGTCCTCACAGCCTTCCTCTGTAGCGGATCAAAATGGAGGGCAGCGGGGGGGGGGGGAGGGGGGGGGGGGGGGGGGGGATGGACATCCAGCGGGAGTTTTTCTTTAAAAAATTCACTCCATTATGCGCTGGACCGTATATGCACACATGCAAATATCTTAATATAAATGTAAGCAGATTCACATGTGCGCATATGAGGCCCAGTGCATAAAGGAGGATTTTTTTTATTAAAAAAAAAACCTTCCGTCCAATCTCTTTGTTCCCCCAATTCTTAATTCAACCTCTATTTAAGATTATAAAGTTTAAAATAAAGAGTTTCACAGAGTTCTGATTGCGCTACATTTGTGCTTTCTTTGAACCATCTGTGTGTCCGTTTGACAGCCCCAATAGCTAATCAGCTGTTTCGGTCTTTTAAAAAGTGTATGTGCACTGGAGTAACCTACACAGGGGCAGGGAAGGAAAGCATGTGTTTTGCATGACTGCAGAGATATACAGCCATGCAAAGGTGCATTTTCTTCAGGCTGAAGTGGGTTTTAAGCACACCTTTTTAGCACGTACTTTTAAGCTCTTAACCCGACCCCTCCTGCACTTTGGCTAAACATCACGTAGCCCATACCCTCCCCCCCTCCCCCGCTTTTAAACCAGGCTACTTCCAGGTTTTACACCATGTGTAGAAAGGCCCTCTATCAGATTCTGTCCTGAAATATGCCTTTATTTTTGGCAGCTTTTATGCCAGAATTTGGTGGAATGGTATCAATTTTAAGCATTAGATTAGGATGGAGTTTTTTCCCATACCTGCCTACAGGTCAACAAAATCAGCTACTTTTCAGAAGATTTTATAACTGCTTTCTCTCAGAATAGAACTATGTATGCTGTCTTGAGTTTGTTGGAAATAGGACAAAATATAAACAAGTCATAAAATACATAAAATTGATGAATCACTTTCATTGTTTTCATTATTACACAACACCAACAGCTTGTATAATGTTTTACAGAGCAAAACAACAAAAATTATTTTGCTTCAAGATCCTGAAATCTAATATTTCAAATTTAAGGAGAGAACTAGACACATTTCTTTATAGTCTTAGGCACATTCTTAGGCCCCATCTACATTGCCATTATAGCGCAGATTGAACTGGATTATATGGCAGTGTGGACTCATATAATCCAGTTCAATACAGTTCAAATTATATTATATGGCACGGTAGATGAGCACTTATACTTAGCTAAAGTGAAGCAGGGCTATAATGAAGGATATGGGTAAAAGTTGGACATTTCTACATCTACTGGTTTGAATGGGCAACTCAAGTTTCTCACTCATGAGAAAAGGGTCCACCAAATGTGGTGGTATTTGCATCTTGTACTGTCATAGAACACATTGCCTTGGGAGCTATAGACCACAGATAATCCCTTGACTCTGAAACTTCTGCTCAAGGAAAGTCAAGGCAGTCCTATCCCTTCTGAGTATCTTGGAAGCAGGTGTCTTGTTCCATATAGCCTTCAGCCCTTAAAACTGGTGGTGACTACCCTGGTTGTTTTAATTCTGTAGTCTTAAAACTATTTTAAGAAGCTATTTTTACAAGGTTTTTTTTTCATTTGTGCATATGTTTTAAATGGTTTTTATCTGTCTTATGTCGTCTGGTAGAATAAGAGAATGACAGAAAAATGCTCAAAATAAATAATTTGTTGAGGTTCACCAAGTGCACCAGGTACTCTGATGCTGAAGTATTCTGAAGATGAATAATTTCTCTAGTGTCGATGAGAATAGCTCTTATGAGCCATCACAACTGAAAGAACTTCAGCTTCATGACTATTTTGGCCCATCCACTGCCCAGATGGACACCAAGACCATCAACCATTCCTTGCAGTAATCAGAGAAGGGGAAAGCAATGACGATTCTATATTTTCACTACTACTTCACGCCTCTACTTCTTGCATGTTGATCATTCAGGCACCTGATCGGACATCAGTAGAGATGACATGTAAATGGCCAGGAACTCACAAGGAGCTCTGGGGCTAGTGGAGAGTGACAGTGATGGGCCAGCAATGAATGGGCTCCTGAATCCAGACCACCACTGGGCAAAGAATACTCTGATTTAACCTGCCCTGTGTAGATGCAGCCTTAGTAATAATATAATAGCAAAGCATTCAAAGTGGCACCTATGCCTAAAATCTGAAGCAAACTGAAAAAAAAAAATCTTCTGAGGTTTTCCTGGCTCCCAACAGGTCTTGCTATTGACCAGTATCCTCTTCTTATCACAGAACAGTCTTCAACTTTGGAGAACAAGAGACCTTGGAACTAAAGAAATCACTTTCATATCAGTTGCATGGATCAGTGTAAGTACAAACTGAGTAAAAATAATCTTCCCAAGCACTAATACAAATCTTAGGTATGAGCAGGTGATAGGCCTCACCATTACTTCAACTTTCAAAACCCACTCTAGCTTGATTTCTTGCTGTAAGGTTTGTTAGATCATTTTTCTAGGTAAAGATGCTTCACAAGTCTAAGGCACATCTGTTAGAAAGTAAGCCCCACTGAATATATTAAAACTCAGCCCTAACTAAAGATGGAAGACTTAAAAAGTGTTGCATATCCTCTTTTCCCCAATTCCTTCAACAAGTAGACAATTAGGTTTTGGACCAGCCAGACTTTCTCTTCAGTATTGGAACTCTCATCTTAGGAATGAAGGGATTCTTATCCCAATCCCTAATGTACCCTAAAAATCTGCTGCAGATGATTGGAGCTGGAAGAGGTGGAAGGAAAAGTATGCTCAAAATAAAAAGAAAAATAAGTCTAACAGTTTTTACTATTACTGAGAGTTCTAGGAAATGTGCAAGAGAAGTTTCAAAAATTCATTCTGCAGCATCCAAAACATGAGATTCTATCCTTGCTTAAAATTCTTATGCAGTGTAATTCTTAATAAATTAAGCCCTCCGTATTCACTGTGATTTGTGCAAAGGATCCCCACAAAACTGGAAAAAAACAAATAAAAGGATATTTGTTTTACTTCAGAGAACATCTTTCTAGGAATCTATAGGTCCCCCAGCATAAATAAATACTCAGATTCTATCAGAGTATTTATTTTTGCAACTGTAAGTTAAACTACTGAAATGTCTCAATAAAAACCTAGCTCAGGGATGGGCAACTGTCAGAAGGTAGGAAACCACATTGGCCTCCCAGAGCACTCTGGAGACTATCCCTCAAACATGACCTTTGGGATAACTATGCCACAGAGTCCAAATGGTATTCACCCCTATTCTGTTTGTGAACCAGGGGATCTTGAAATACATTATAACTACCCTTCTTTTAATCTTCATTCATCTATTTTCTGAAAGATGCCCACCTCCAATTATCATGCCAGCTTGACAGCATTTCCTCAAGCGACATGCGGGACAGTTCTTCCGACGAATTTTGTCCACTATGCAGTCATTCCGTCCAGCACATAAATAGTTATGTTGACCTATAAGAAAGTAAAGGGGAAAGGAAAAATATTATCATATCATGAAACATCTGAATCATAGAATTAATAGATAGCCCAGAACAAAGGTCATGAGTTCTAAGCTAGCCTGGGTCGGAGTGAGCATCTGACCAATTTATGTAGTTTGCTGTTGACCTTTGCAGCCCAAAAGACAGTTGCATTTATCAAGTAGGAAATTTAGGTACCGCCTATGCAGGGAAGCTAATTTAACTAATTTACAATGCCATAAAAATCTCCAGCAAGCCTGCAAAAAATGAGGAAGTACTTCATCAGTGTCACAAATGGACGGTGAAGCAATAGCTCCCCTGGTGCCCAGAATACCCTCATGAAAAAGTTGGAATGTTAAATTGCCTCTGTGTCTGTCTATATATGCTGTGTCTATGGCACTGAATGTTTGCCATGTATATGTACATTGTAATCCACCCTGAGTCCCCTGTGGGGTGAGAAGGGCAGAATATAAATACTGTAAATAAATACATAAATAATTTGAATATTGTATTTTTCATAATCAAACCAGTTCATTAAGCAAATAATAATAACTATAATACCTGAACAATATAATTTTAACTGAATTCCAAAGCGCTTAAAGCATATAGAAAATTTAAATAAACACCTCACATTCTAATCGGTCAGTGTTCAATTTCCTGTATCAAGAATACCAGCATTGGGATTATTATCAGATGTACTTTGGGAAAGATAAAATAAATGACGGCAGCAAAATCTCCACTTCTGCTTTGCCACCAAAGCTTCTGGCTGTTGAATAACAAGTAAAATATCCCCCAAGCCAGATTTATAAGCATACAGCTTTCTCACAAATTATGTTCATACTCTTATCAAATGTTACCACTCCTATCCCTTTTGTTTTAGTTCATGAGTTCAGCAGAAATACCAAATTGCTAAAGTGAAATTTGTATATAACACACACACACATGTACACACACACACACACAGAGAGAGAGAGAGAGACTATTTTACACTAGCAACTGACTGCGGGTGTAATGGTGCCCCCCCCCCAGCCCTGTGTCACCCAAAAGTTTGTTGCAGGAATATATATACACACAGAGAAAGTTGTAAGACATGCATCTCACTTGATAATTCTAAATATTACAAATTATGTTGGTCTTGCCTCGAAGGCATTTCTTACTTATGGTAACCCGAAGGACTTCAGCCTTTTCTAGCAAAGGATACTGGTAGCTCATCAAGCGACAAATCCCAGGATTGCAAAACTATGAGCCACAGCAATTGAAGTGGTGCCAAAATTTATTCTAAACAGAAATATACCCCTGGAGTCTTATTAGTCTAGCACTCAAATCACTACACCATGCTGGCTCTCTGACATAAAACCAATACAAAACATGAAAACAGTATCTACAATACAGTCTGAAACTTGAATCTCTTTGTAATACCTCATAAGACTAGAAGAAGCTCAAGCTACAACACGTCCTTGTGGAATAATCGCTTCAAGAACTGGAGGGCATTTTTATTCTGGGATCAAACCACGTATGACAATCAAGTTATCCATTACTTAATCTCTCCTTGGTTGCTATTTCTGTCTTCTAGATTATATAATTGAATACAATTTAAGAGTGGGTTTAACAATGCATGTTTGTGTGTGTGTCTTAATAAAACAAACCTGGACACTTGGAGGCAAATTGTATGTCCTCTAAAGTGCCACGTTTCTCTGTTTCTCTTGTGTTGGGTCACATTAAACAAGAACAAACCAATCTGTTCCTGTTTAACATGACTCAACGGATGAAAAACCAGTATCTTGTGGATCTTAACAATGCAAGGGTCACCCTGACATTACAAAGTGTTACTATTATCAGCCAGTTGTTGTTGGTAGACTGTTCTTTTACAAACATGGATCTCAAACATATTTCTAAAACAGATCCACTGCCACAGAAAGTTTCACAAACTGGACAATACTAAAAAGATTTGCTCCCAACATCCTCAAGCCTATAGTTAGGGTGTCTGATTAAATTTCTATGTGCAAATAAAGTTCACTTGGTGACCCTGTACCACTTCTCCATCTTTCAGTTCATTCTATGACACAGAATTGTTGAGAGAAAAAGTGGGGAAAACATGTGTACCGTGCATGAAGGTTGGGCATGCTGTCTAGGAATGATAGAAGTTGCAGCCCAATACATTTGAAGGGCAACAAGTTGAGCAAGAATCCCATAAATAAATGAATGTTGTGTTAATAAATACACAGTCAAATAAACATTGTTGCATGCATGGAACTGTACTCCCATTTTGGAAAGAGTTCTCTAACTACAACAACATTTAAAATGCATGGGCATGAGTGTAACAAGGAAGTAATTTGTGTCTAGATATAATTATCTTGTAGATCTTTAATTCCTTTGAACCTGTAACAATTTCCTGCAAGGGTAACAATTTTACTTTATTGCAGGAAGAGAAATGAAGAGATTTGTGGCTCCTTAGGCTATGCCTGGCTACTTAAATGGGCCTACAACTATGCCAGAGTAAGTGTTGGTACAAGAAGAGGAAGAAGGCAGGAGGTACAATGGCAATAAAAGAAGACAAAAGGATTATCATTGTTTGATTAAGACAGCCACTGTTTCAGATAATTATTTGGCTTCCCAAGGGATCACTGCAGACAAAGTATTAGAACAGCTATCTTGGACAATTACATAGCAGGTGAGAAGCCTCTTTCAGCATCCTAAAATGCTAAATATGAACAAGAAATATACCATACAAAATTATGATTGTCTACATTGTTTCTTCAAAGTATGGATATGCTTTTCTTTCCACAATCTAACCGTCAGTTGTTCCATCTTGGTCCCATGAAATGTCATTTTGCATGTTGCATTTCACCACGTGAACTTTCTCAAGTAGTATCACTGTTTATGGATGTTTTACTTGAGGTAATTTATATATTACTGGCTACAGAATTGCAACCTTAAATAAAAATGACATGTCCCAATAGGAAGACTTCTTTCTATTTTATGTCTCTTCAAGGGTTATTGCTACTCTGAAGGGGGGAAAACAACTGCTTCCTAGTTTTATAATTATAGATATTAAATAACAGACTTTTTATGAGGGCAATTTTGTTACAGTTGCCAAACCAACTGGAAACTTTACAATAATTAAAAACCTGTGTTTCACTGAAAACAAAAGTGGGGAAAAAACAAAACAAAGTATCCATAACAAATTGCAATTGTTTGCCCTTCGCTCAGCTGTGAGTGCGGTGTTGCAACTTTTCAACACTGGTCATTTAAGCTCTCCATCCAGCTGCATTATTAAATATTCCCGGAAAATGTTTTGATGGACAGACAATCACATGAAGAATTCCATTTAATCTGAACCCAAGTCAACAAAAGACAAATTAATTAAACTGGCAACTCATGTATGTTGCAAAAAGAGGAGGAGGAGGAGGCAACAGTAAGTCCATGTATGTATCATCTTTTTTATATTGGGGGGGGGGGGTCACTTGTCCACATCAAAAAGAATGTTCTCTGGGGATTTTCTAGGTCCTCCAGTGCAATTCTAGAATATGATTTTCTGGATGTTGAACATAGTCATGTCTAGGCATTTTCTATGTCCTCCAGTACAATTCTACTGTCAAATACCATATACTGGCAGAGGGGTGTTCTCTAGGCATTTTCTAGATTCTCCATCCAGAGTGATGTTATGCTATGTGTCTGAGAGAAGTTGACTATAGTTATACTGGAGGATCAAGAAAAATCTATGCATTTTGAATGTCCTCCAGCATGAGTCTGTGGAATGTGTCTACTGGCAGTACAGTAATTCATTGCTATTGTCTATCATTTTATATGTCTAAGTTAAGCTCTGGAATATATCCCTCATGGATATTGTATTTGGAATCATGATAGTACAACAGAAGACACTGGGAATATCACCTCTGTTGCCATAGGAAGCATTTAAAATATGCAGCTTTTGCACCATGACCATGCTATTTTTGCACCATGCAGAAGATACTAGGAAATACCATCAGCATTATCCTTCCTTCCTTTTTCTTTCATGAAGGTCATGGTACAGCAATTCTGAAGTCACTGCTGTCTGCTTCTTTTATTTATTTATTTTTTTTGGGGGGGGGGGCTGTTCCTTCATTTCTGAAATGCCAGAGGCTTGATTGATGGGCCATGTTCTTGTGCATGCCAGCAATTCCTGTGGAGATAGTTCCCATCTCTTGCAGGAAGGGAACTTAGGCCACCTTGTCTAAGTACTCTGACCTCTGAACAGTTGGCAGCTTCTATACTTTGACAATCTTTGGCAGAGACAGCAAACAGTAAGGTTTATAACAAATCGTTCAGTGAATCATCATACATGGCTTTTACAAACTGACTGAAGATTCATGGGATACACACTGAGCATGCTGGCCTAGATTTCTCCAAAATCTGCTGGAATGAGCTTGGTAAACTCAAATGTGATTGGTTCTACCCAATGAAATTCTCTTCCATAACAGAATTTCCTGTTTCTTCTACTGCTCCCTTCAAGCACTTATAATAAGACCACGGAACCCATATCCACTTACCAACACTTAGGGTAAACCTGGTCTCTCTAGGAATTTGGTAGGACCCACAGGCAATAATATGGTATATTTCCTCTAAAAATTACCACATAATTCTGTTGAAGAACATAGCCTCAAGAAGACACCTCTCTATGAATCTTTAGGACCTCCAATGCAGATCTATGGCATGCTGGGATCAGAAGCAAGGTAATTTATTGATGTTTGGTCATATCCCCTGCACCAGATCATCTCTGATCTTGGAAACTAATATGAGTCAGCCCTGGCTAAGACTTGCATGGGGGACCGACAATGAATACCAGGTACTGCAGGCTATATTTCAGAGGAAGGAATACACATGCCAACCACTATAATAAAAGTATAAACAAATAAAGAGATATGTGTGAATAGGAGCAGGGAAGTAGGTAGAGAATAATGCAAGTCTAGGGTAGCAGAAGTTAAGTCTTTCTGCAAGATTGCTTCCTCTCCTGTT